CACGAGACAACGCGGGTCTGCACACGAGATCAGCAAGATGTTAAAACTAGTCACTGAGTTTGAATATAAGGACAAGAATTCAATATAAAGTTTTGTTTTTAGATGTATAAATAAAAATACTTCTAAGCAAAAGAAACCATCCAAAACATTAGGAATAGAGGGAAAAAAAAGGAAAAGATCCCAGCAGTTTAAAGGTTCAAATAAAGAAACAATGAGAAAAAGCAGCAGAAATATGCATACTAATATGCTAAAGGGTGATTTGCCCAGAGAGTGCTCAATGACTGGTTGCTAACCATAAGACTTTAAGTAAGCCTATAGTATTTTCATTAGTCCTGGATCACTTAGGCTACAAGTAGCTTATGTCTTTATTTTTAAGATAATTAAAATATTGTTTAATCAATTTGTTAATTAAGGGCCTTCTTTATGCTTAACACTGTCTGAGAGCTTTAAATGTTGACTGTTTCCGAAGTGGGAAACACATTTTTATTAACATATTTAATTCTGCCAGTTTAATTAAAATTCACTTTAATCAAGAACTGAATACCAAAGATTTAAATTTAAAAAACTCCAAATAGTAGCAATTTTACTTACTTTAATAACTACTGCTTTTACACAAAACTAAAGTCATTTATCCCTCTCTGGGGGTCGAAAGAAACCCAGAGATGACATTCCTGACCTAATTGTGTTACAAAATTATACAGCACTGGAAAAGTGGGTCAGCACTTTATCATTTACAAATCTAGGTCAGGTCAGCATTTTCCAACTAGTTTGTACTTGTAAATTCATATGTACCACTATTATTTCTGAAAATGGAAAACATGGAAATACAGGGAAAAATGTAAGCCTGTATGTGAATATGCAAACACACACAAATACTCCATTTACCCCAAATAATTGACTACAGGTGACTGAAAAGATTTTCACTAATACATAGAAATATTTAACATTTTCTTTTAGCATTATTAGAACATTAAGGTCAAGCTATCTTAGTTTAATTTGAAACTCAGAAACCAGGATTGCTTAATGCTTCAATGCTAAGAACACACCAGCTTCTCTGAGTACCTGTGGCTAGTAAACATTAGGATTATTTAATGAAATAATCCAAGTGTATAAATTTATCCTTGGGTAAATCATCATCAGTTTAATTCCCTTTGTAAAGTGAGGAAGCTGGACTAAATAGCCATTTGATCTCTCTGGACCTGTTTCAAAAGTATGGAGAGACTTTCTCTACTTACACTTTCCATTTAAATTAATAACTTTCATTGCTATGCATAAAACTACAGTCCAGATTAGGAGCACCCCAACTCTGTTCTGCACTGGCAACACCTTCAAAATTATTTTCTTATTTATCCTTTCCTTTAACCTAACTACTATTGTCAAGAGTTGAGGCATTCAATCATATACTACCTGGATCACTGCTTTTATTTCTAACTTGGTCTCCCAAATTTTAATCTTCTATTTTAATATACCCTCTGTATTATTACCAGTTGGTTTTCTAAAATGCACACCATTCTCTTCCCTGCTCCAAGTCTTTTACCAGGTAAACAATTAAACATCATCAAAATATAAAGTCCTTAGTATGTCAAAAACCCCTTCAAGATCTGGCCCCAATCTTTCTAGTCTCATTTTTCATCATTTCAGTACTTAACTGCTATTGCTGCCAGTTTCCAAGCAACTATCCAACTTGATGCCCTTTGGCTCCGTAACTGCCACTTCCTTTATCTGTTATCTAAAAGATAGAGAACACTGTCCAGCTCCAGCTAATGATTCCTTAGTCAGTGGTTCTCAACCTTCCTAATGCCGCGACCCTTTAATACAGTTCCTCATGTTGTGGTGACCCCCAATTTCATTGTTACAAATTGAACACAATTAAAGCATAGTGATTAATCACAAAAACAATATGTAATTATATATGTGTTTTCCGATGGTCTTAGGCGACCCCCTGTGAAAGGGTCGTTCAACCCCCAAAGGGGACTCGACCCACAGGTTGAGAACCCCTGCCGTAGGTAATCCCTAATCACTCTTGAACATACAGGTCAGAGCATTATCTCTCTGCAGCAGTTCCCAGCCAGAATTACTCATTTTTGTGTTTCATTAGAATTTTTGTGCTAATATTCTTTCTGCTATAAGATGAGGGAGAACATTTCGCACCCCTTCTCTTATACTCAGTTTAAATATAAAATGTGGGCAAAAGCTCCCACTCTGCAGAGTTTGTGAGCATTAAATGAGAATATCTGTAAACCACCTAATACATCAACAAATAAATGAAATGAAGATCAACTTCCTTAGTTTAACCAAGAAAAGGATGGGAATTGGTAATGATTTTGACCGTCTGGCTCAGTCTTTCCACTACACAGATTGTCTTTCTAAATATTAGCAGATACCACATGGAATTTACTTATTTAATAGACCTTTCCACTGGATTGTGAAGTCCTTGAATACACTGAGCATGTCTAACATGACTTTGTATTCCAAACTCTCATTCATTTGGTGTACTAACTTTAATTGACACTGTGATGTCAAGATTGAAAGATCTAGTCTCCACTTCGAGAACTCTGCCAAAAGAGGGGAGAAATATAGGCAACACCTTTTTTGCTGTTTTTCTTGCAATAAGTGCTATGCTAGTGGGATACTGGAAATATACACGAGGACTCTGGAAGCCCAAATGGATACCTAAAAGGACCAGACAAAAATAGGACAGGGAAGGCTTTTTAGGAACAGATGAAACTTGAAGTGAATCTTGAAAGATATAAAAATTTAGGGAGAACAAAGTATTCTAAATTTCTAAAAAATATTAATTCTTAAGTGGTTTACTTATCATACTGTTTATGCTGATAGTTGTAAATTATTACTGTTGATAAACATTTTATGGCCTTGAAAAGCATTTAAAAAAGAATTCATTAAAATAAGGTAACTCGGATTTAAGTCATTATTACTGGGTAACTTCATAAATACACCAAGTTTAGGTGCAAACTCAATGCTGACATCTGAAGCTCACAGGAACAGAGCAGAAATGAAAAATTAACCACTGGCAGTTGTTTCTATTATCCACCCATGTCTGACTGGCATATTACATATGAGTGACAAATAACTGAGACATTTCATCCCCTATTAGGTTGTTTCTATTAACAACAAATGAAGATTTTTGGCATCTGGACATTAAAATAAATTTGAGTTCTACTAGGTTGTGCAACCCCAAGCCCATCGATCTCTCTGTCCCTGACTTCCTTCATCTACTCAGAATTCGTTGTGGGCTTGAAAGAAGACAATGCTTTTAAGCTTGAAATAAGACAATGCTTATTAACTTCTTGGAAAATATACAAGAATTAAGAGTAACAGTCTCTCTAATCCTTTTAAATTGAAGGAACCAAATCTAAGTTAAATGACAGCTCACTAATCACACTCTTTCAGAGCAAGTGTATCCACCTTACCATTTGGTAGGTGGAGAAAGAAGCTGGACAGTATCCTTGTCCAAGGAAGGAATAACTTGGGACAAACTGCTATCTCCTCTTGAGTGGTAAATTTCTCCAGGGAAGAGACTATGACTTATGTCCTAGCTATAATTAAAGTAGCTAGCATAAAGCTATAACAAGTAATACATTTTCCATTAAATGTCTAAACGTTTTCTGCTGTGGGAACTTCTGGGAATACAAGCTTAGCAACTATTGCAGAATAGCACTTTGGGCATTGTGGTTGCTTTTGATTCTATTATAAAGGCAGGCATCCTTTCCCCCCAAATATGCTCATAACTGCAACATTTGGCACGTGGACTTCATCATGAGGGCATGAAGCAGAGGCTTTTGGCATTTTATCATAACACAGGTACAATGCCTCAGACAGAGCTTGGGTGCTTGTTCTTTTACTACTGACACTGCATCTGTCCTCTGTCCCTGCTGGCTTTACCTCCTTTTTTTCAGGCTGAAGATGTAAGCATTTCCTTTGCAAACTTTTGTGATTTAATTTCAAACTTTTCTAAGAGGCCCCCACTAGCAGATGAATCTGCAGTAACACAAAATAACACATACAACCTTAAAAACGTGATGGAAGGAGAGGAAGGCCTGAGGCCAGAAGAAAACCCATCTTTGCAGAAACCTCCAATCATGAAACCTATAGTGTGTAAAGTAGCATCCTTGCAGCGGTTCTCAACCTGTGGGTCGCGAACAATGAAAATACATCCTGCATATATTTACATTACGATTCATAACAGTAGCAAAATTACAGTTATGAAGTAGCAACGAAAATAATTTTATGGTTGGGGTCACCACAACACGAGGAACTGTATTAAAGGGTCGCGGCATTAGGAAGGTTGAGAACCACTGGTTAGAGAATCAAGTAGGAGGGACCTAAAGGCCACTAATTCTACAGATAAAAAGTCAGGTGTAAAGTTGGACAACAATTAAAAGTAAAAGATCTGGATCAGGGGCATAGGGAGAGGAGAGCAAAGTAACAGATCAAACTCCAGACGCTATAATGTCTCCAAGGGTCGAAGACCACCACGAGCCAAACCAGCACATTTCTCCGAAAGAGATCAAGACAGTGGCCTCTGAGAACGAGACGGGCTCCAGGCCCCGGGGTCATACTTGGGGGGTCGGCCCCGGTTCTCCCGGGTTGGACGTGCAGGGGCCACATGGCTCCCGGGCCTGTGCAGCCCCCGAACCCCGGGAGAATTAAGTTAGTGACAAGGATCCCTGGCCCGCGCTCCCGGGGCCGCCTCCCAACCCTCGAGCCCCGATTCGGGGCCATAGCCCCTTCAGAAAGCTCAACCACGACCCCACAGCCCCAGTTCTTACCATAGTGAGGCCGGCGAAGCCCCAGCCACATCACCCTTCCGGGCCCAGGGCGGAAAAGGCGGGCCCGCTGCCTGCCGGTCTCGCTCCTTCCGGCCTTCCGGTTGGGCTTCTCAGGGTACCGCCTCCTGAGCCGCGCGACGGAGAAGGCAGGATAGGCTTCTCTCCACCGGAAGAAGGCGGGAGTTAGTGACGTCACGCGCCCCTGCGGAAGTAGATGACACTCTCATTGGCTGCGGGACGTCAGCCTGTGGGAGCGGGCCTTTTGGAGGAGACCGGAAGTCGAGTCACTGAGAGGTAGGTTTCGGAAGCCAGGGGTTCGCCTCTTTAAGTAACAGTAATGATAGTCTTGTCCTTTTTTTTGCTTGTTCACCCCCGCCCCTTTTAATTTTTTAAATTTTTTAAATTCTAATTGTTTTTAGTTCCCTCTTCTTTTCCGTCTAGAACTCCGCAGTGCGTGGATGTTTCCCGACTAGGATCCCCCTGCTGGGCCCTCCGTTTGTTCAGTTGCTCCCTTTGCACCTGGGGGAGTCTTTGGATTACAAAGCGTCTTTGAAATGCTCTGTGAAATGCTCTGTGATGGTTTTGGATAAGGAGGACCCTTGAATCTGCAGGGCTGTTGGATCATTTCTCTGACACTGGCCTCTTCTCTCTCCCAATCCCCAGCTTTTCGTAAACTGTCAGTAGGTTGCATCTGGGGCTGAAACGTTTGGCCCTTAGGGATCACGGGCGACTTTCCGTGGCAATGAATGGGGAGCAAGTGCCCTTTCCTGAGTTCAGAGCCGATTACTCGAGAGAAGTGATCCAACGGCAAGACAAATCATGCTTTTTCTTTTAATTAGTAAATTAGTAGTATAATTTAGCTTCCTCTGATTTTAATAATCCCAGTGGCTGAGGCTATATTTCCCCCATTTTTTTTATTCGCCTACCCTAGATAAACAGGCGCGTTGATGTATTCAGTTTGCATAGTTTTTGGAATTATTGAGTTTATTCCTCTACCCCCTTAAATGAATCAGAAAATTATGACAACCCTTTGGCTCCAGCTGTATAGTTTTGTTTTGTTTTTTTCTCAGACAGCAGAGCGTTCTTTTCAGAATGTTATTTTTTAAATTCTTTATTAACTCAGAAAGTGGATAGAGGAAAAATGGGAAAGAAACTAATAAGGACTTGATTTATTAGTTTTTGGCCAAACTATGAGATCCTTAGCTGTATTTGGCCTAACTATGAGATCCTTCTATATTTAGGGCAGCATGGTGATTGAAACGTTAGATTTCTGTTATGTGATTACATTGTTGCTACCACATTCAGTTTTTTAAAAAATATAATTTACTTTTGAATCTACTGAATTGTCAAGAGTGGTCAAATACACAATTTTATCAAGTTTTTATTGAGCTTTATTACTGGGAAAATGAGAGTGCAGCAGAGGAATAAAGATGACCTGTTTCTTGGAGAAATTTAATGATCATGGGAAAGAGGGGAGTAAGAAATGTATAAAAAGTGTACAGTAACCTCTTCCTATAAGAAACCAAGCCATTTATACCTTGCAAGTCTTGCCATTCAAGTTAAACAAACTTGGCTTAGTTATAGAAGTTATGTTGTACACCTCATCAAGCTTGGCTTCCAAAGTAGTAAATGTATTGAGATTTTATAACTGTTTCTGCTCTCATGTGAAGATCGTCTCAATCTCTATGAACATTTAAGGCAGCGGTTCTCAACCTGGGGGTCAAAAAACCCTTTCACAGGGGTCGCCTAAGACTATCGGAAAACACATATATAATTACATATTGTTTTTGTGATTAATCACTATGCTTTAATTATGTTCAATTTGTAACAATGAAATTGGGGGTCACCACAACATGAGGAACTGTATTAAAGGGTCGCAGCATTAGGAAGGTTGAGAACCACTGATTTAAGGGGAATACTTCTGTGTGAAGCTGTGCTTCAACTACCTGTGAAGATCACTAGGAAGCTGCAATTGTTCACGATCACAATTGAGTTACTGTATTTATGAATTACAATTAATTTTAGGCCATGGGCACTTACATACTTCAGCTTCAAAAGAATAAAGAACAACATTTGCCAGTTAAAGTTTTACATTGAGGAACACAAATGGCAATAGATGAAGCTAAACATATGTGTATAATTAAAAAAAAAAATGTAACACAGCAAACAAAATTAATCTGACCTGTGGTGAGAGGTGGGAAATTAGTAGTTGAGCTACATGGTCATTAAGCACATAAACCCCCTACTTTTGGTTTTTACTGCCAATGAACTATTTTAAGTACTATCTTACATTGCTAACTATTTCAAAAGTCTCTTTTCTGGCAGCTCTGCTATGAATTCTCTAAATCATCTTAGATCCTTTACTTACTAAAAATAAAATCTGACTCTGTCATTCCTTTGTTCAAAAACTGTTGCCACTCCTGCATCTAGAGGAGTATTTTCAATTTTGGTTTCATGGGTTTCCTAGAATTTTATGTAAAAATAGTGCATATTTTTATTTTTCTGTGGAGAGAGTTCATAGTCTTCTCCAATGTTATGAGACTTAAATGAGTTCATACAAGTAAATCATCTCATCAAGAATCTGGCATTAATAAGCACACAGTAAGCATTGCCTATTGTGTGCCTGGGTTTCTCTTTCACTAAATTAAAAATTCCTTAAAGGGAGGGATAATGATGTAGAGTTGATTGACTTGCATGTTAGGCACTCAATAAAAGGTTTTTGAAATAAATTGTTATTGCTTTTATACCACCAGACCACTTTCTCCCCTTTTCTCTTTTTACTTTGTATCTAGTATTGAGTATTGAAGGTTTCCTTTTATATGACTCCCCATTTTCTTTCATTCTCTGATATTCACATATATGAAATGATTTTACTGCCGAAACCGGTTTGGCTCAGTGGATAGAGCGTCGGCCTGCGGACTGAAAGGTCCCAGGTTCGATTCCGGTCAAGGGCATGTACCTTGGTTGCGGGCATATCCCCAGTAGGAGATGTGCAGGAGGCAGCTGATCGATGTTTCTCTCTCATCGATGTTTCTAACTCTCTATCTCTCTCCCTTCCTCTCTGTGAAAAATCAATAAAATATATTTAAAAAAAAAAAAAAGAAATGATTTTACTTAACTGCTTGTTTTCTCTCATCCTCAAGTAGCCACCATACTTTGAAGTTGAGGTTCTTCATGTTCTAGTGTTTGTCTTTGTACTTTCCCCCTCTTTTTTTTTTATTCTCTTTTCCCATAGCTCATAGATTAAGACCCATAAAAGTTTTGTTTGACATGCATGTTATTTTATTTTTTTACTTTAAGAAATGCTTCTCTTAACCTTTCTCCACTTCTAACCCTATTGATTTGCTCTTCTGAAAAATCCTTTAAGTTCTCTATACTGTAAATCCCAATTTTTTTTTTCTATTTTTTCTTGTATGGGGGAAGAAAAAATAACATTCCCTCCTACACTTATAAAGTTCTGGTTGGACTAATAAGTAAATAGAAGATACATTAATAGGAGAAAATAACCCGGTTTATTACATATGTACATAGGGGAATTTCATAAGAATATGTGACAAGAGGACAAATTGGGTACTTAAGGCTTACATGCCATTTTGAGCCCAGGAGAAGGGTAAGGGATAGTGGTTTGGGACTACATATGGGAGGGTGGCGAACATAGAAAAGCAAATGTTTCATAAATAAATGTTTCCTGGGCCATCTTTAACAGCGCAGAGAGGACTTTGGTCAAATGAGCCTTGGTATGTTCCTCCTTATTACATACTAGTTCTTATTAAACTATAATTGTCTATGACGATAGCTCTCTTCCTGGAGCAGGACCTTTGTTTAAATTCTTTTAAGCTGTTTGGGGGAGGTTAAAGATTTTTCCTCATTATTTAACCAGCTTAAAATAATCAATATCCCAGTAAGCATATTTTGAGGTGGCAAACTCTGCCCTCACTTGAGATCATTTCAAAATGGCAATTGCTCCCACGCACCTGCAAAATGCTTTTGTTAGCGTTACCAGTGATCTCTAGGTGTTGATCATTTTCATTCATTATCATTTGAACTGTAAGCAACTTTTGACAATTGATCATTCTTTTTTTGATGATATATTTTCTTCATTTGATTTGCTGGACTCCACACTCTTGGTTTTTCTTTTACTTATTGGTTGCTCCTTCTCAGTCTTCCTTCTGTTAGTCCTGATCTTTTATTATTGAAGTGCTCCAGGGTGCAGTCTTTGGTTCTCTTTTCCTCTGTCTACACTCCCTCTAATGACCTCAAGTCTTAATGACCTTAAATACCATCTGTATACTGAAGACTACCAAATTCATATTCCTTGTCCCCTCGCTTTCTGAACTCCCGACTCACATATCCAGCTTTCTACCTCTACATCTCCACTTGTTTACTTCAAGATATTCACACTTAAGTGTCAGAAACTGAACTCTTTTACCCCTAACCCTGCCCCATTCTTTCTCATTTCAGCTGATGGCAACTCTGTACAGCTTGTTGCTAAAAGTTAAATATTTGGAGTCATTCTCCACTCATTCTCTTATATTCCATCAGCAAATCCTATTGATTCTTTCTATAAAATATGTCTAGAATTTGACTGTTTCCTACTATTTCTACTGTTAGTATTCTGATCATCTCTTGCTTGATATCTGTTATTAGCCACTATCATTTCTTGTTTGGGTTGCAGTAATAATGTTCTATCAGGTCTCCCTGCATTCTTTAATCCTTGCCTCTCTACAGTTCTATTCTCATACAGTAGCCAGTGTGATACTTTTAAATGTAAGTAAAAGGTTGTATTAAAATGTAAGATTCTTGCCGAACTGGTTTGGCTCAGTGGATAGAGCGTCGGCCTGCAGACTGAAGGGTCCCAGGTTCGATTCATGTCAAGGGCATGTACCTTGGTTGCGGGCACATCCCCAGTGGGGGGTGTGCAGGAGGCAGCTGATCGATCTCTCTCATCGATGTTTCTAACTCTCTAGCCCTCTCCCTTCTTCTCTGTAAAAAATCAATAAAATATATTTTAAAAAAATGTAAGATTCTAAGTGCAATATGTTATCTTAGATTGGATCCTAGAATAGACAAAAAAATATTGGTGGAAAAAACTGGTAAAATCTGAGTAGTTTGGAGTCCACTTAATAGCAGTGCACCAATGTTGGTTTCTTTGTTTTGATAATTGCACCATGGTAATATAAGGTGTTAATTTTAGAGGAAACTGTGTGAAGGGTGTATGGGAATTCTATATTTGCAACTTTTCTGTAAATTCGGAATTACTCTCAAATAAAAAGTTTATTAAAAGCTAATGTCAC